ATATGAGCCACTGTGCCTGGCTTGGAAATTCTTAATTACAATATCTGGAGGCAATATGGAAATAGGCAGTTTTTGATAACCACCAAAGAACTCTAAAACTGAAGCAATTAATTGAGACGCTTCTACATCTCAATACACAAAAAGCAGTAGGATCTAATGGTTAAGTGCACCAGTTTGAAAGTCTAGAGACCTGGCTGAACCTTGACCTTATCAATTAGTAGCTCTGTGACCTTCAGCAAACTGCTTAACCTCTTTAAGGTTCCATTTTCTTCATCTATAAAATGGAGGTAATAAAAGACCATGTATTCAGCCATGTAGTCTTCCTACCAAAAAACAGATTATGGATATAATAAAGTGTCTAGCACAGACTCTCTCACATACTGAAGTTTTCAATGAATGGTAGGTAGTAGTAGTATTATTTTGGATGATTATTCACTCAACAAGCATTTGTGAGTAACTTATTCTGGGTTAGCACTAGGCTTTGATTCTAATTTGATTCCAACAAAATTAAAAAAAAAATCTATCTATCTGGTATGACCCATGGGGAAGCCCCATGTTACTGACCTGATAGACCTAGGTATTATCCAATTAACATAGAATACCTGCTCTCTTTGATCTATAAATGCATAGGAGTGAGATCAATTCCCCTGCTTCTACCCTATTCTCCTTGCCGACTCAACAACAGAAAAGTCAATGATTATGCCATGAACAGCCATCCAAAGTGGCTTCACAGAGAGGGACAGTGCCAGGACTGCAGGAAAAAGAAGCTGCCCTCAAGGTGGTTTGCATCATCAAGCCAGACTCAGGAGGGTACAGGAGGAGGCTGGATGACTTGCCATCTGTATGGCCATTGTAGTGATATCAGCAGCTTCTCGGTCATTAGGACACTGATGGCAATTTGCCTTGAAAAATATATTGTAAAATCCAGTGAATTTCCTCCCCCGTATCTTGGAGGCTTAGGAAGAACTGAAATGGATTCCAAACTGTTTTGAATTAACAAAAAGAGCTTTTGCCTGTTGCAAAGTTCCAGCTGGAACTCGCCTAGACTTTTTCTTCACAAAACAGCAAACACTCAAGGGGGCAAAACATCCACCAGAGTGTCCTGGGGCTTGTCAGCTTCACTGAGTTTTACACTTGGCTTTGGCTGCTGGGTAGGTTTTGGGAGTTTGCTAGGGTGGCTGGCATGATGCTGCGGCGCCAGTTGCAAACATGCCTTTGCTGGAGGCAGTTTTATTACTCTCCAAGCCGCCCAGCCTGTTAGTAAGACTAGGGAGCGCAAGGAAAGCTATTGTTTACCATGATGACCAAGGAAGTGCTGTTCCTGGCTTCTAGTTATGGGCCTACTTTAGGGATATGGTGAAGAGAGAGCAGGTTGTGGCCACCAACACAAAGAGTGAGTGTATAGACCACAATCCACTGGCCAGCACCAGAGAGGACAGTTAAGACACCTAGGTTCCAATGTTAGTTTCACTGTGGCACTAGTTGTTAGATCTTAGACAAATCACTTAAGTCTATGACCCTCACTTTTCTTTCTGTGAAATGAGAATTAAAAACCCAGGAGCATTGTCAGGATTGAATTGAGAGTATGTAGGTGAAATGTTCTCGAAATGGTATCAAGTCCTAAACTTTGGTTCTAGAATAGGTGGCCGTTCCTTTGATTTAGTCTAATTCTTGCCCCCAAGCTCAGGAGAGAAAGACTCCAGAAGAACTAGGTCATCTTTCTCAGCAGCTTGGTTTGAGAGCTGAGTGAACAGCAGAGACGCTAAGCCCGGGCAAATCTAAGTACCAAATCAAATAGTATTAGTGGTTTTTAAGGCTGAAGTTCAACGGCTGCAATCTTAGGTAGCAACTCCAGTTTCCCCAGCAAATACGGATTTGGGTCCAATCAGTTACTTTCATCTAAAAATCTCCTTTTTGAGTCTTCTAGGGATACCTCCATTAATCCCCAGTTCCTTACCCCCACCTGCTCTTAGTTGATGCACATCTTGTTCATCTTTCCTTTAGTCTGGGGCCCTAAGTGCCTTTGGATTCTGTGAATCCAAAGCTAGCTTGGAAATGAGACAAACTAAATCCCTACCAAAAGCACTTCTTTCTGAACCAAAGCAATTGATAGACTTTAGAATAAATTGCAGAGAAGGAAATAATCACCCTTGTTAAGATTGGGTAGGATCAGAAATTTGTTTACTAGATGAAAGCCTCTTGCTTAGCTGAATGGGAAATCTTGAATAGGAGGGAAAACTAATTGAGAAATTTTGTCTTATTCTAATGAAGCATAACTGGGGAGGTGGATCTCATCCTTTATAGATGCCTGAGATTCAGATCTCACTTCATAAAGCCCAGAATTCTCATGACTGCTTCTTGTTGAGTCCTTGCCTAGTTGAAACTAAGTATCTTTGAGTGGCTCATTTCAAATGCTTCTCTTTGTATCTGTGGGTAGGAATACAAACTGCTATGAACTTACACATAGGTGTATGTATATATCTATATATGTGAGTGTGCGTGTCAAATTCCTGATAGGAAAAATAGGACTCTTAATTATATTTTATTCTGAGTGCAAAGCCCTTTAGTTTTCACCTATACCATTCTGTACTCTTTCAATTATAAAGTGACCATTACTTTTATTTAAAAAGTTAACAAAAAGTATTAACAAAGAGTATGTAATGAAATGGGAAACTGATTCAGTGAAAAGAACAGACATGGGATATATAGTAAGCTCAGGAAAAATATTTGAAATAAATTAAATATTAGTATATTTCCAAATTTTATTAAAAATAAAATGTGCCTTTATTAAAAATAAAATCGTAGATAAATAGGCTGGGTGCAGTGGCTCATGCCTGTAATCCCAGCACTTTGGGAGGTGGAAGTGATTGGATCACCTGAGGTCAGGAGTTTGAGACCAGCCTGGCTCTACTAAAAATACAAAAATTAGCTGGGTGTGGTGGTGCATGCCTGTGATCCCAGCTACTAGGGAGGCTGACGCAGAAGTCACTTGAACCTGGGAGGCAGACAACCTGGATGTAGTGAGCAGAGATCGCGCCACTGCGAGAAGAGCAAGACTCCATCTCAAAAAATAAAATAAAAGTAAAATAAAATACTAGCTAAGTAATATAAACTGTTTTTCAAATCTAATTTTTCAAAATTTAATATTTTTCTTCTGGCAAACCTCTTATATACTGGAATCTCATCCTTTTTTGCCAAATTAATAAAATATACTACAGAGTCAAGGATTAATTTAGGTAGATTTGGTCAAGCTATTAAACCATGCCAGGTAGTATATTTTTGTTCTATTAAATATAATATCAAGTAGTTATTTGACCCTGGACTTGTGGCTCTAAAGGTAAACTACACCATATTGTGATCTATTTGCTCCCTAGGCATTTAAAGGGCGGTATTCTGCATGATGTGATGGTAAACAGCATAGAGTCTGAGCCAGCATGCCTGATTCACAATCATGGATCCATCTTTTGCTAGACACGTGACCTCGGGCAAATGAGAAAACCTCTCAGTGCTTTGGTTTCCTCATTTGTAAAATGGCCCTTACTTCCCTGAATTGTTGTAAGGGTTGAATAAATATGCATGAGGTGCTTAGAACACTGCCTGGCACACAAGAAGTACTAAATAAATGTTTGCTATTCTTATGACTACTGTACTATGCACATGATTTCAGAAACATTCTCCTTTCAACTGGACAACAAAAGACCACACAGTGATCATGCTCTTTATAATCCAGTGTGCAGTTATACACAGTTTACCACTATCCCCTGATGGCTTTTTCAGAAACAGAGAATTCACTGTAGAGTACATATAAAAAGCTCACATGAAGTCCACTTCAACAGGAAAACCCGCTACTCAGAAACAATTTTTACACAGAGAGATGAAAGTAAAACCTCATGAGAGGCTAATGAAAGTAAGGTTTAGGTTGGGTGTAGTGGCTTATGCCTACAATCCCAGCACTTTGGGAGACCAAGGCAAAAAGATTGCTTGAGGTCTGGAGTTCGAGATCAGCCTGGGCAACATAATGAGACCTCACCTCTAAAAAAATTTTTTAAAAATTAGCAGGGCATGCTGGTGTGCTCCTGTAGTCCTGGCTACTTGGGAGGCTGAGGTGGGAGGATCACTTGAGCCGAACTGTAAAATGGCCATGTATTACTTCTATGAAGTAGCATGATCATAGCTTACTAAATGCAGTTAGAAGCTGCAGCGAGCCATAATCATGCAACTGCACTCCAGTCTGGGTGACAGAGTGAGGCCTTGCCCCACACACAAAAAACAAACAACAAAAAAAGAAAAGAAAAAAGTCACACTCAGTAGGAAATCTGGTTTTTGGAACTGGTTAGTCAGATAATATACTTCCAAGGCCAAAAATACAACAAATTGCTAAATAACTCAGTTTATCTCTATGTTGTGTGTTCGGTTCACATTGCATTCTTAATCACAACCAACTACTTCATAAAGGTACTTTAAGGGAGCCATCAGAGGAATCCACACAAGAGAGTGGGTGGAGGTCAGTAGGTATTCCTTAATTTCTGATATCAGAAAAGCAATTCAAAACAGTATCTTACTGATGATAGCGCAGGAGCATAATTCGAGCAGAAACACTTAGTAGTACCTTCTCTAGGCCAAGTCAACAATGTCTGAAGCAAAGTTATATATGTCATTACTTACAGGAAACAGAGATTAGACTGGCCTCTAATCTTCCTTTCTGGAAAGAAAGAAGGAAACAAAGGAAAAAGGAAAACAAGAAGAGGGCATTTGACTGGAAAAAAATATATTGTGTGGGATGAAAGAGAAGATCCCGGGTTACCCATAGCCTTCATAGCAGAAACCTTTGATATTCTTTCTTGGTACAGTGTTTTGCATGTGTAGTGATGATTCATGGCATTATGCCATTGGCACTTAATGTGACAACGAACGCAGACTAATACTAAGGAAATTCAAAATTTTGGCCATCCCACCATCCTCCCACCCTCTCTCACAGAAGATCAAAAGACAAATCTTACCTCCACTGAGAATAATGACAGCAATAAATATTGCCAAGTCACTGTCATCTAATTCCAGTGCATTGAACTTCACAGCAAACTCAAACTTGGGCTCCATAAAGTCACCAAAAGGCTTTCGCAGGCTCTTTAGAAACTCCCTTGTCATGAAGCCCTGGCCTTCGGATATGAGAACCCCATCTTTATTCATCAAGGAGGCCAGCATTGTGTAAATGATCTCGTGGACTCCATATTTGAGGAGAGTTACTTGGTCATTCAAGTCAAGATTTACAAAACCAGGAATGCTTTTGGCATACTCTGTGATCTCCTGCACGGCCTCCACAGAGCGGAACTGGCAGCCCTGAAAGATGCGGATGGCCACCTCTTTACTCTGCTCCTGCAGTGGGGTGATGTGTTTGAACTTGATTTTATCTTCTCCCATCATTAAGGAATTCATGTCATAGATAACGAATGGCTGCAAATAAAACAGAAAAAGTGGCTGAATTGGAGAGTTCTAACTTACACTGAATGTCATCCCAGTTCAGAAAACTGTTTCGTTATGTAAATTTGCTTTGTTAATTAAAATCTTTAAAGCTGAAGACGCTTAATAATGAGGACGTATTCTCAAGTTCTTTTATTCATCTTAATTGTCTTCTGAGACCAAAGGTATTTCATCAATTTCGGTCTTCTTTCTCTTCAATTTATACTATAACACCTAACCTATGACTGCCAGGAATCCCAATGTCTCTTGTTTGGGAGTCTTCATTGTTGATTTTTATGTTTATTTGTTTGTTTTTGAGACAGAGTCTTGTTCTGTCACCTAGGCTGAAGTACAGTGGCACTATCTGGGCTCATTGCAACCTCCACCTCCCAGGTTCAAACGATTCTTGTGCCTCAGCCTCCTGAATAGCTGGGATTACAGGCACCACCACCATGCCCGGCTGAGTTTTGTATTTTTAGTAGGGATGTATTTTTAGTAGAGTTTTGTATTTTTAGTTTTGTATTTTTAGTAGGCCATATTGGCCAGGCTGGTCTTCAACTCCTAGCCTCAAGTGATCCGCCTGCCTCGGCCTCCCAAAGTGCTGGGATTACAGGCGTGAGCCACCGTGCCCAGCTTTTTGTTGTTTCTAAAATGATACAAAATCTACTGTTTATCTTGGCTTTCAATGAAATACACTTTTGGCCTTCTTTCAATTAAAAGTCATTTTGGCAACTCAGGGTTGAGAATACTCACTTGAACATAAAGTAACTTTTCAGGTTTAAAAAACATGTTTTTCTTATTTTTTTTTCCTTTTCCTTTGTTCTCCTTCACAGGTAATAACTTTTCAGTTTTAGATGACATCCTCTAAGATCACAAATGAAACTATGTGCATATGAAATGTGTTTAAGTATTACAAAATCACTCTGAAAGCAGATTTGAGCTATTGAACCAAGAAAATGTCTATTTCTTTTTTTAATGCTCTGGAAGTCATCTATTTCAGAAAGAGCAGATTCAGAAAGCCTGTAGGGGACTGCTGCAAAAAGTGGCAAAAAAGGGTTTTGAATTTATATTTTAAAATATTTGTCCTTACAGGTTAAACAATCAATAAAATACATGCCCCAATTATTCAAGTTTGCAATCGGCTGTTTTCAAAAATTAAGTTGTTTGGTCATGACCTGATCTTTCTCTGACTTTCCTTGTATAGAACTAACCAAAGGTTTGTAGTCACTGAGAAGTTCTCAAGGCTGCTCTAAGGGCAACCTTCTACTTACACTGGATACAGTGAATGACATATAGGAGTTAAACCTTGAATCCTGTTCAAATACTTGTGTACCTGAAGGCACTGGAAGAAGAGCTGAAGGTATCTGGGTTCTAGTTTTCGTTCTGTGGTGAACTATGTGACTTAAGGAAAGTCATTTACCTTTCCTAGACCTGAAATTTCTTCATCAGGGGTTTCCATCTCTTCTCTGGGGGAAATTCTAGCTGCATTTCTCAGAAGCAGGATGTGTGTAGGGGGTGGGCATATGTGTGGAGAGGTGTGAGTGTGTATGCACAACAAACATGAAGTCTCTGATGGACTAAAAGTAAAGATTTTTTTGAGCACAGATGCTGAGAATTCTCTCCTGAGTGGGCAGAGAGAAGGTGCATGAGTGGCCGTGGCAACTGGCTTCAAGATGCACTGGTTGGAGATTCTATTCATCTCTGCGGAACTCTATGATTTCCATCAAAAGATTAAGTCTGTTCTACACTGGAGGAAATAACACCAACATTAAGGACTCTTAGATCTTAAATATTTCCAAACTTGTACGTCACATCAACACCATTTACTGGAGTTATTCTAGAAGTTTTTACTTTTGTTACCAAAAAATTCACTTCAACTGTACTACTTAGCAAACTCCAAAAGAGGACAGATGTGAGGACCCCAAAACAGGTTTGCCTGGTGGCTCTAATTTTTCAAGGAAATTGGGACCAAATTGTCCTTACTGTATTTCTTAGGCATTTTGCTTGGGTGTTTTTTCTGTTTCCTTTCTTTTCAGGATTAATATTAATAATTGGAAGAATAAAAGGGGGGAGAGAGCAAGTACATTAATGAAAATTTACTGTACTTTTCCAGAATGTCAGGTTCTAATCATGAGAAAAATTTGAACGGATAATGATGCTTTCACAGAACGTAGGGAAAATGTGCTTCTTTGTCCTCCAGGTATTTTATAGTGTATTATAACTTATATTAATGAAATATTGACTTTAAAAATTTATTTCCTTTTTTGAGATGAGGTCTTGCCATGTCGCTGGGCTGGTCTTGAACTTCTGGGCTCAAGTGATTCTCCTGCTTTGGCCTCCCTAAGTGCATGCTAGGATTACAGGTGTGAGCCACCACAACTAGACTTTATTGGCTTTCTTTAATGCCATGAAAAAATGATGTGTGGACACCTGAAAAGACCAACTGCACATGCAGTAACACAAACAACGTGAATATAAAATCATCGCCTTTTCACATATGGGAAGACTGGACCCCGAACTGCCCACTTCAACTTTCAGACAAGCTTCTGCTCAACCATTTGGCTTCTTGGCACAGAAATTCTTTCACCACCATGTAAGTGATTTATCTGGAACTATGCCCTGATAAATCACCCTTGTCACTCTTCCCCTTTACTTCCCCTGTCCCCTCATATAAAGCTCCAGGTTCCTGTTTTTGAAACTCTGTAATAGTTGAACATAGGGCACAAAATCCTGCTAATTTTCTCTCCCAATTTAACAACAATGTGACTTTAACCCCTTGGCAATTGATGTTGGTCAGGATTTCCTGGCAGTAAATACTCAAGGACAGAGAAAGGAATCAGCACCCCACCATCATGCCAAACCATTTCAGTTTTTTCTTTTCCTTATTATTTTTTGAGACAGAGTTTCGCTCCTGTTGTCCAGGCTTGAGTACAACAGTGATATCTAGGCTCACTGCAGCCTCCACCTCCCGGGTTCAAGCAATTCTCCTCAGCCGCCAGAGTAGCTGGGATTACAAGCACCCAACACCATGCCGGGCTGATTTTTTTTTTAATTTTTAGTAGAGACTTGGTTTTGCCATGTTGGCCAGGCTGGTCTCAAACTCCTGGCCTCACGTGATCCACCCACCTCAGCCTCCCAAAGTGTTGGGATTACAGGCGTGAGCCACTGTGCCTGGCCCCGTTTCAGTTTTTTTTAATCCTTTCTGCATTTTGAAGAAGAGGTGAACTGGCAGAGAATTCTAGGTGTTAATATGCAAATGAACACCAGTTTTTTTTTCCACTAGTCGTATCTGATTATACTGTTTTCATGGCATTTCTGAAGAGTGTATAGATTCTTTTAGCCTCCATGTGGATTTGTCAAACTGCAAGAGTGATCCCTGGGTGGGCATGGTCTGCCTTTCCTTGCAACCAACTCACCAATTCTTATACTGCAGACAGTTCACTTGTGCATCACTTTCATATTTCACAGGAGACCTCCATACGCTCATACCTGGTGATAAGATTGTGGCTGGACTACTTTATGGAGAGAGAACCTGTTAAAACTCCAGTCAAATTTGGTCTGCGTAATTTTATCTTGAATCATTAATTGAACATGACATTTGGCACAATGTGGTACAATGTTTTATACAAATACACTACACTTCCATGGCTGTGTTTCTGTATTTTTTACAGAGCAAAGTGGAGTCCTTATACTTTCCATCAGCTTGGACAGTATTACCCAAAGAAGCCAATATAGGAGCTGTACCATTCTCAGATTTTGTCTTAATGATTTTATACTTCTAGTGTGGGGCTAACAGTGTATCTATCTTCAGACGCTATATCAAATGGTTGGATAAGCATCCCTCCTTAACAGGAAAGAAAGATTAATTACACCTAGGACATGATGGGGCACATTCAGGTTTTGTGGGGTATAAAATGTACACAGTAGTGGGGCCTCTCTAAGGAAAATATTACAAATTATAAGAATAAAATTGCCTGGGGCCTTCCCCAAGCACTGGAAGGAGCTCTGCACAAGGGAGAGGCCCCGAAGCCTAAGCTTCATTAGCTTCATGGTGAACCTGTCACTGGTCATTTTGCACTTGTGCTTTTCATATACTGGACAGACCAGAACAGAATTAAGAAAGCTGCATTTGAACCCATCATTTTTCCAGAAAAACAAAACAATTTCTGTAAGGAGAAATCAATTTTTTGAGGGATACATCAAATATAATGAATTTTGATATATTTCAATTTTCAATATTTTGACACATTGTGACTTTCAATTTTGACATATTTTGATTTTCAGAATGGAATTAAAAGTACTGTTTTATATAGATGAGTAAATTCAATTATAAATCTATGGCATGCTTTCTATGTAGAATACAAAGAAAATGGGGCAAATAGGATTAATTATGAAAACAGAGGAATAATTTTTTTTACCTTTTTGAATGGAGAAATACAACAGTAGTGTTCCTGAGTAATCTAATAACATCAGCATCTTAATATATGAGTTATGAAAGGTATTATACATGAATGCTCTAAGTTTACACTCCTTTTGAATAACAAAATAGCAAGCTAAGGGAGATAAACATGAAAATCACTCATAAAGCACAGGGTGCTTTTTCTGGGTGACTTTTTAATTTGGCCGATTGAATGACTGTAGTCAACCACTCTGCCCTCTCTCAAACAATCGCTTGGTAGTTAACCCTGCCAAGAGTAAAAACTGGCTTGGGAAAATGTGGGCCTCATCAAGTGTGGCTTTCCTGATATTCTTAGCTTTACCGGGGAAGACCACTGAATTCTTAGGGCTCATCTTCCTAATTTTGTTTCCTTTTTCCTTTTTCTACTTCTGACTTTCATCACCTTTGACACACACAGCTATCCTCAGTCCAAACCTCATTGGTTTGGTTTCCTCAGCCTCTTGTTGGTTTCTGCCCCTCTTGTTCCTGTTTCCCTCTTGTTGAGAACCATGAGATTTACAGGACATAAGGGGTCTTCAGAAATAATCTCCCCCAC